TTACAAGTGTCACGTCCCTCTTTGGCTACATTTTCTTTCTTTCTTTCTTTCTTTCTTTCTTTCTTTCTTTCTTTCTTTCTTTCTTTCTTTCTTTCTTTCTTTCTTTCTTTCTTTCCTTCCTTCCTTCCTTCCTTCCTTCCTTCCTTCTTTCCTTCTTTCTTTCTTTCCTCCTTCTTTCTTTCTTTCTTTCTTCCTTCCTTCCTTCCTTCCTTCCTTCCTTCCTTTCTTTCCTTCTTTCTTTCTTTCTTTCTTTCTTTCTTTCTTTCTTTCTTTCTTTCTTTCTTTCTTTCTTTCTTTCCTTCTTTCTTTCCTCTTTCTTTCTTTCTTTCTTTCTTTCTTTCTTTCTTTCTTTCTTTCTTTCTTTCTGCTGGAGGGAAGCTCTAAATCCTTCAATGGTTTACAGGCAGCATGAACTCGTTCTGTGTATAAGGAACCAAAATAAGGTAGTGGACAGAACAGAAGGACAACGCGTGCGAAGGTCCCAGCCTCCAAGTCTTCCCAAGCTACATGGCCGTGGCGTGGAGGCAGGAGCATTCTGAAACTCACTCCCCTAATTTCATCTGCATCCTCACTTCCCCTTTTATGGGTGTATCTGTGGCTGTGAGGATTAAACAACACAGCAAAATGATATAGTACTCCTTTACCTCCAAGGCTGGCACCTTGCAGACAAGTAGGTAAGTTCTCCGCCAATGTGGGCTAGAACTCCCTTTGGTCATTTAACAATGAGCTTATTGAATGCCTGTCCAAAAAAAAAAGAACTGGAAAGAGAGGTGTTCGAATAATTCTCACAAAGATGATCCACTGCGCTTCCGAGTAAGCAGAGTCTCTACCACGCAATGCTGGTCAGCCAGGGGCAGGGGAGAGAACAGTGAGTACCAGCAAGCACGCCTGTGGTGCTGTGTGCCAGGCACTGTGCGATGCCATTACCTCCTTAGCCCTCACGACGGTCTGCCTGCTGTGGGGCTCCTCGTCCCCAGGTCACGGCCAAGGTGACAGAGCACAGATGGGTTAGTCCCTGCCTCCCTTGAACTTGTCCATCAGGGAAGAGCACTTTCTGTTCTTGGCTCACCCGAGAGGTGATCTCATCTAATTATCACACCAACCCCGTGGTGGGTGCTGTGATGGTCTACCTTTCAGACAATCAAGGCTTGGGTAACTAGGCCACATCCCTTGGCTTCTAAGAGGTAAAACCCAAACTTAAGCCCAAGCAGCCTCTGGTGTCCAGCGCTACCTCACCCTGACGTGCCGCCTTTCTCTTGACCCACAAAAATAGCATAGTCTCTGCTTGATCTGGGATGGGCTTATGTCCTGGTAAACCCATTTGAAGTTGAATGGGCTGAAAATGCACAAAACCCACCAAACCTGCTAGACATCAGAGCTCAGCAGCACAGCGCCCCCTACTGAGCCTCCATTGTTCCCCTCCTGACTGTGACCCTGGGGCTGAGCAAGAACCCCATTCCCTGCCACTGCCCAGCATCGCAGGAGAGGATCAGACTGCTCCGCGCTAGCCCGGGACAAGACGCCAACGCAAGACTGAAGTCTCTCCCAGAAGTGCATCGCTCTCACACCATCCGGAAGTTGGGCCATCCAGGCGGGACCACCAGAAGCCAGGATCACTCCGACAGTCAGAGAAGTGGTGCAGCCAAGCGAGGTCTGCTGGGAAGAGTCGCCCCCAGCCCTGGAGGGGTTGGTCCTGGTGAGCATGGGCCACCAGAGTGGGACGTGAAGGAGGCTGGATGCCGTAAGCCCTTCGCAAGGGGGTGGGGAGGACCAATCACAGCAAACACCCTTGGAGTCCAGATCTGAACGGGTCTGGGGCAGACTTGCAGCTCCCCCTGCCCTGAGGGGCGCAGGAGAAGCTGTGAATTAGCAAACAGACTCCAGTCTCTCAGTAGCTGTTCCACACGGAGCCGTAACCTTGGTGGCTTATGAGTAAGTCGCCAAGGCACAGTAATTGTTTCCATGTCAGAATCTCAAACACATCCTCAGAGGAGCTGAATTCACACCCTGCTCCACCAAAAAAAACAAAACAACAAACAAACAAAAAACAACTCCTGGGTGTCTTTGCTCAGGTCTTGTTCTGCTTGGTCTGGGCGGCTCCTGGCACTAATGATGCAGCTGCTCTTTGCTGGGTCTTCTGGGCCCTGCTTCTCCACCTTGTGACCTTGAACACTCCTCTGCCCCTGGCCACCCCTCGTGGTGCCTCTTCCTGGAGCTGCCGTCACTCCCCGGGCGCCACAGCCCACACCAACACCCCTGGGAGATTGCAAACACACAGCTGCAGCCCTACCCTCTCATTCTTTCATCTCCGGTTATAAACAGGAGACCTTGGGCCCCGTGCCCGCTGCAAGCCATTTCCGCTCTAGAACTGTGCTATGGCCACCGGACTTGAGAAACTGACCACATTTAAAAGAGGTACACCTTGGATACAGGAGTGCTGGTGTTCAATTCCCGGCTCCAGCTCCTAACGTAGACCTTGAGGGGTAAGGTGTGATGGCTCAAGTACTTGGATTCCTGACAACCAAGTACTTGCGAGACTTGGATTGGTTTCTGATCTCCCAAGTTTTGGCCTGGCCCAGCGGTGGCTGTGGCCAGGCACTTAGGGAATGAATCAGAAGAATGAGAGTTCTTTGTCACTCTGCCTCTCAAATACATATTAATTTTTTAAAGACTTATTTTATTGAAAGGCAGTGTTACAGAGAGGCAGAGGCAGAGAAGAGAGAGAGGTCTTCCATCTGCTGGTTCACTCTCAAATGGCCACAATGGCTAGAGCTGCGCCGATCTGGAGCCAGAAGCCAAGAGCCAGGAGCTTCCTCTGGGTCTCCCATGCATGTGCAGGGGCCCAAGCACTTTGGTCATCTTCTGCTTTCCAGGGCCCTAGCAGAGAGCTGGATCAGAAGAGGAGCAGCTAAGATCGAACAGGCGCCTTTAGGGGATGCCGGCACTGTAGGCGGCGGCCTTACCCGTTACGCCGCAGTGCCAGTCCCACAATATATATTAAATTAAAAAAACTATACAATGTCTATGAGTCAACATTTCACTTCTAGGAATCTATCTTATAAAAAAGTAACACAAATCCTGAACACACATAACCAAATATGTTCATTAATAAAAGAAAAATAAAAAGGACAGTTTATAGGAGAAATGGTGGGTTATTACACATTTATGCTATCAGACAGCAAGTAGCAGTTAGAAGAAGGAGGCACATCTATAAGAATGGATATAAAAAGATTTTGCAAAGTATGTGTGAAAAAAAAGTACAAGCTATTTGCACCATTATCTCATTTTTGGGTATATGAAGGTGCTTCAAAATGTTTGTGGAAAATGGGCTTAAAATATAAATTTATTTTGGTTCCAGAAAATTTTAAATCCTTGCATACTATGGAATATGGAAATGCATATTACAGAAAATAATGTGCGTGGATTTCAAATTTTTTTGCACCAAAATAAACTCCTGTTTTAATTTCGTTTTCCCTCACTTTTGGAAGCATCATTGTATGAGCGAGAAGCATGTGTAGGAATCGAAATCAAAGCTTGAAGTGGGGTGACTGACCGAAAACATCTTGGAGCTAAACTGAAAGCTACAGAGCAGGTGTAAACGCCCAAGAAAACGCGACAGGACCTCATTTTAAAAAGGATTAAATTGCAAAACCTTCAAACAGAGCTTTCATGTTAATTCCCTGAGAATATGGAGGAAACTTGGACCCGAGGAGCTGAGAACGTGTCTGGACCAGCGGCAGCGACACTCATCCCCGGCTCGGGGTGCAGGGTGAGGGGCGGCTCCAGGGCACAGTCCTCTTAGGTGTAGATGCTGGAATCTCTTAGGTAAAATGACATAGTATTTGCAACATATCCTACGCACATCTTCCCACATGCTTTAAACCATCACTAGAGTGTTGAGAGAACCTAACCCAATGTAAACGCACTTTGTTTAGCAATAAGACGCCACCTGGGGCATCTCATCCTGTATCCTCATACCTGGGGTCAAGTCCCGGCACCACTGCTGATTCCAGGTTCCTGGAAGGCAGCAGGTGATGGTTCAAGTACCTGGGTCCCTGCCACCCACCTGGGAGACCCGGATTGAGTTCTGGGCTCCTGGTTTCAACCTGGCCCAGCCCTGGCTGTTGCATTCATTAGGGGAATGAACCAGAGGATGGAGAAATCTTGGTTTCTCTGTTTTGCAAATAAAATAAAAACAAATGCCTGTATAGTTTAGGGAATGAGGATAAGGGAAAAAAGTCATCTTCACATATTCAGTACAAACGCATTTTTTCCCCTGGATATTTCAACCAGTGATAGGAGTAGGACCCGCCCCTGCTGCAAAGCACAAGCTCCCCTTAGGGCATCCGCATTCTAAGGCCCCAGGGAAGCCACTGGGAAGGTTTGGGTGCAGCCGAACAGATGGGAGCAGAGCCCGGACGGGGGTCTGCATTGGGAGAATTTGTGAGGGTCCAGGTCAATGATTTTGATGGCTGTGCCAAGGTAATGGCAACAAAGAACAGGGCTGGGAGACAGAGAATGTGGCCGTGGTTACTGAGATAAGCAATGGTGGAGATTAGCGGTTGGGTGGTGTGGGTGGGGCAGGGCGTGGAGAGTCCCGGCGATGTCGGACGGTGTTAGGGCCTCCAAGGAAGACAGGTAGAAAGAACTGCACCGAGAGGAAGTTAGCCGTGTAGAATGAGCAGGAAAGAAAGTTCCAGGCTTCATCAGCAGCTCCAGCGCTCCCGCTTACAAGCACTCTCTGAGCTCACACGCTTGGAAGCCCCGCACAGAGCCTGGACCGCGCGGTCACCACTCAGTCGCTTTCCGCCTTCAGGCAAGGCTGGTTGAAATGAGCCCCAGCGTGCATGGGTTCCCCCGAAACCAGGCAGCCCGCGAGGTACACACATGCAAACAGGAGGCATCGCATTGCTGAGTCACTTCCAGAAAACAGGAAACAGGATTGCCAAGCGAACACGTCTTTCCTGTTTTCAGGAAAGGAAACTGCTCCACGCACCCACCGTTTAAGCCGCAGGTGGTCCCGGCGCCGTCCGGTGTCCGATGCGTCCGATGGAGAGCCAGGCTTCAGACTCGCTTCCCAGCTCCCAGCCAGATGGCTTTTATACACGAGGAGACCTGCCTGGGCGTGGATAGGTCTATGTGAAAGGATTGGCTTGTTTCCATCCCTCATTCCCAATCGTCCCACCCTAGGGGACATCCCCAAAGGATAAACCAGAGGAGCTCCTAGATTCTGAGAGAGGAAACTCTTTGCTTGGAAATGAGCTGCAGAGGTGTCTCCGAGGCTTCCCGTGACAGAGAGGAGTCCAGGGGTGATGACACTTGTTAATCTTTTGTGAAAGGTGTTACTGCTGTTCTGAAGGTGGCTGGAAGCGGAGAGCAGTGACTTAGTTCTACAGTTCTGGCTTTGACAATTGAAACGCTGATTGGAGGAGGAGCGTGGGGGAGGGCGCGTTTCAGGGGCGGGCCCCAGAGCTTGCCTTTTTTTTTTTTTTTTTTTTTGTGCCTGTGTGTTGCTGACATGGAGATGCTATTGGCCATCCAAACGGAGATACCAATAAGTGGAGATACCAAGGAGAAAACAATTTGAGGCCGGAGCTAGGGCAAAGTCAGAGCTGAAGACAGACATTTAAATCAAGGGTGGGGGCTGGCGCTGTGGTGTAGTGCGTAAAGCCATTGCCTGCGGTGCCGGTATCCCATGTGGGTGCCGGTTCGAGTCCCGGCTGCTCCTCTTCCGATCCAGCTCTCTGCTATGGCCTGGGAAAGCAGCAGAAGATGGCCCAAGTGCTTGGGTGCCTGCACCTTGTGGGAGACCTGGAAGAAGCTCCTGGCTCTTGGCTTCAACTCAGCTCAGCTCAGCTCAGCTCCGACCATTTGGGGAATGAACCAACAGATGGAAGACCTCTCTCTCTGTCTCTACCTCTCTCTGTAACTCTGTCTTTCAAATAAAACAAAATTTTAAAAAACTTTAAAAAATATAATTCGATATGAAAAAATTGTTATACAGTAATGTAACATGCTCCTGTGCTGATGTGTTAACACAGAGATTAGAATATCAAATAACCTGCCATAGTTTCAAAGTGGCCAACAGTGGTGTTACTCTCAGATATCTGGACCAACCGTCATAGAACAGAAACTGTGCATGGTTCCTGACAGTGACAGTCACAGGCGACTTGATTCCCAAGTGTAAGAACTACAACCTGTGCACAGCAAGGAGCAGCCAGAGAACAGTCTTCCACATCCGGGATCATGGATCCCCTGGCCTAGTGTTTGAAGCAGCAGAACACGTGAATATGCACTAATGAGTAGATAAAGAAATGTGGGGTTCCCAGGACTCTTCTCTGGGATGCTCTGATGTCAAGAGGCTGAGCAAAAGAGACTGAGAAGCACGGGCAGGCCAGCCAGCAGAGGGAGAATTCTGGAAGGCAGGACAAGACAATGTCCACGGGGGGAACCCAAAGGTCTGGGTCATTCATAACCTCCCCAGGGATTTACCCTGCACATTGAGTAGGTAGAGTCCATCCTTCATTCAGTCATTCATTCATTCACTGGAAGGTATTTCCAATCCTAAGGTTACACCATGTGTTGGTTCTTGGGGCTATGATCATGTACTCCAAGCCAGGCACTCAGTAATCATTGATTTAATCCTCACACAACGCAGTCATTGGCATCCTTACTCCACTCTGCAGACGGCATCAAGGCAGGAGAGGTTTAATGATGGAGACTGAATCTGAGCCTCTTAAGCTCTCTGCTATAAGCAAAACAAAAGCTTTGACTCCTGGTGGTCTCAGTGTGCCTGTTTCAGCCTGACAGTGAGTCCTGATTCATTTTAATCAAATAAATATATTCATTTATTTGAAAGACAGAGTGACACAGAAAGAGAGAGAGAGAGAGAGAGAGATCATCCATCTGCCAATTCACTCCCCATGTGGCCACAAAGGCCAGAGCTGGGCCAACCCAAATCCAGGAGCCAGGAACTACATTTGGGTCTTCCACTTGGGTGGTAGAGGCCCGCGCACTGGGGCCGTCATGGGCTGGTCTCCCAGGTGCACCAGCAGGGACCTGGATCAGAAGTAGAGTAACTGTGGGGCTGGCGCCGTGGCTAACTTGGTTAATCCTCCGCCTGTGGTGCTGGCATCCCATATGGGCGCCGGGTTCTAGTCCTGGTTGCTCCTCTTCTAGTCCAGCTCTCTGCTGTGGCCCAGGATGGCAGTGGAGGATGGCCCAAGTGCTTGGGCCCTGCACCTGCATGGGAGACTGGGAGGAAGCGCCTGGCTCCTGGCTTCGGATCAGCGCAGCTCTGTAGTGGCCATTTGGGGGGTGAACCAACGGAAGGAAGACCTTTCTCTCTGTCTCTCTCTCACTATCTATAACTCTACCTGTCAAATAAAAAATAAAAAAAAGAAAGAAAGAAAGAAAGAAAGAAAGAAAGAAAGAAAGAAAGAAAGAAAGAAAGAAAGAAGTAGAGCAACTGGGACTTGAATTGGTGCTCCAACTTGGAATGCCGGCATTGCAAGCAGCGGTTTAACCCGCTGTGCCACAATGCCATCCTCATCCTCAAAACCTTTTTTTTTTTTTTAATATGGAACACTTCATGAATTTGTATATTATCCTTGTGCAGGGGCCATGCTCAAAGCTTTAAAACTTGATTTTATTTGAGAGTCAGAGAGGGAGACAGATAGAGATAGGGAAAGATAGACACTGAAAGAGATCCTGTCCTGTGACTTACTCTCCAAATGCTCACTACAGCTGGGGCTGGACCAGCCGAAGCCAGGAGCCAGGAACTCAATCTGGGTCTCCCACACCTGAGCCATCACCTGCTACCTAGCAGGGCACACATGATCGGGAAACTGGATTCAGGAGCCCCAGCACTGTGAGATGAGGAATGGCCGTCTTAACTTCTACATCAAGTGCGTGCCTCCGATTTTCATTTTGAAATCGTCACTTTGGCTGCTGTATTGAGAAAGGACTGACTCAACCCACCTCCTTTTATTAGTTGCACCTTCCGCTTTTGATTAAGTTCACCTGATCTGTTCTGAGTGTGGGCTCTGTCTGGCCTGCTTGTGGGTGATGTCAGATCTTCTTTCCCCATAGCAGCCCTCACTTCTCTTTATTTATTTACTTACTTACTCACTCTACTCAACCTCAGCTTGACCCTTGGAGAAGCTGACGGGTCCCAGGGCTGTTCTCCGAAAACGCTTCGTTCTGGTTGGTTCCAGTATACGTCTGCATTTCAGGACAAATGAATTGTATGTATCTTCACATTTTTGAAATTCGTGTTCACTTCCACCCTGGCAGACCCCACAGATGCTGGAGAAAGACTGCGTTCGACAGTGTAAGGAAGGTATCATCTTATTGGATTTTCTTAACCCCTGGACTCAGCCAGGAAGCCGGGTAGCATTCACGCAGCGGCAAGAACAAGGTGGCGGTGATTTACCTGTGATGACAGACTGGAGAGGGCTGTGAGCACTGATTGAAATCAAACGTTCGGGACAGCCTGGTTGCTGAGCTCCCCGGATGGATCCGTGAGCTGACTCCCCAGTGTGGTGTCATGGCTCAACTCCTAAACGTGTCCTAGCTCCTCCCTCGTCTTCTATGGACTTTCTTGGAAGGGAGCAAGCCCTCTGAGCCCCATGGATTCCCTTATCCCTCCCTGGCGTTGCCTGCCCCGAGTTTCTGGTTTCCTGACACCTGTTTGTCTTTGAAGGAGAGTGGCATACCGAGGTGATGTCTTCAGCGTGTTCCCATCGTACTTTATAAGGACAACAACCGTGCATTCATGAAAAATGCCCACAACTCCCTAGGTTCTGCAGCTCGCTGGCAGCACGGGGTTTCAATCTCTCCTCACATCTGTAGTCTGGCACCATTCTATTCAGTTTTCCAGATGTGAAAAGTGAGCCCCAAATTGGGTCCCACGTCCATGATTATAATCATCCGTCGATGGGTGGACACCTCTCTGCTGTGTGGATGGCTCCTGTCATCGCATGAATACACTGTTGCGATTTGTTCACCTGCCGTCTCCTCCGCGGGTTGCCTACTTGAAGAAAGACAGTGACTTTCGCTTGTGTTCTCCGAAGCTCCTGCCGCACCACCGTGCACGCACACGGCGTGTGTGACAGAGCGGTGCTCAGCACGCCGACCCTCACCCCCTCATCCCCCAGCCGAGGAGCGGATGTTAGGAAGCAGCATGAGAGAAAGTAATAGAGATGAACAGAAGTTTGCTGGGAGAGTCTGCCTTCTCCGGTGGGTCCCGAGGCTCAGTCGAGGGCGAGGGAGGAAAAGGCCGGTTCTGCAGGGGGTGTCTGGCAGGAAGGGGGCTTGTACACAGCAGAGTTCTCCGCTGCTGAGTCTTGACCTCATAGGGCTGGGATCCAAATCCCCTCTTGTGGATTAAAAGGCCTGAATGCCACGAGCGATAGCATGCGGTTGCCTGGGGATGGATGTGCTTTGTGAAACTGCTATCAAGCTGTGCGGATCTGATTGACACCGTCTGGGCAAGATTTGCTGGTCACCCTTGCGGGGCATTGCATCATGGGTGAACCAGTGGCTGTAAGGTGACCGTCTTAAAGTAAGCGTCTCAGAATTTGTTAGAAATGTATTTCTACATTAAAAAAAATGGTTTGTTTGTTTGAAAGACAGAGTGACAGAGACACACACACACCTACACGCCCACGGGGTGGGAGGGAAGGACAGGGAAACAGAGAGACTGAGAGAGGTCTCCCATCCTCTGGTTCACTCCCCAAATAGCCACCACAGCCAGGGCTGGCCAGGCCAAGGCCAGGGGCAAGGGCGCATGCACTGGGAGCATCTTCTGCTGCTTCCCCAGGTGCATTAGCAGGGAGCTGGATCAGAAATCAACTAGCCAGGACTCGAGCTGGCACTGATGTGGGATGCTGGCCCTGCAGGTGGCAGATTAACCTGTTGCATCAAACACTGGCCCATCCACTTTTCTCAATCGATTCGACAAGTATCTCAGTCCAGGTCTGCTTTGTGGGTGGAAGGGATGCAGCCACTTGAACCCTCGCCCCCACCTTCCAGGGTCCCAGTGTGCATTAGCAGGAAGCTAGATTCTGAAGAGGAGCCGGAACTTGCATCCAGGCACTCTGATGGAGTGTAGGTGTCTCAAGCTACAGCTTCACTGTTGTGCCAAATGCTTGCCTCTGATACTTTAAAAAAATATTTATCTTTTTATTTATTTGAAAGAATTACAGAGAGAGAAAGAGATCTTCCATCCGCTGGTTTACTCCCCTATTGGCTGCAACTGCTGGAGCTACACTGATCCAAAGCCAGGAGCTTTTTCTGGGTCTCCCACATGGGTGCAGGGGCTCAAGGACTTGGGCCACCTTCTACTGTTTTCCCAGGCCACAGCAGAGAGCTGGACAGG